TATCGTGATGTTGACGCGCAGTGGCGCGAAGCCATCTACCAAAATTTTCACAATGTTGATGAATCTGGATAATGATGCCTGAATTTTTGACAGCCATTTCCAGGCTGGATCCCCTTGCATGTCCACGTATCTATTCGCTGGCGACGAGGATTCCAGTCCGACCTGCTTGTTAGTTGTTGTCTTCTCTCAAATGTGTAACGGGAACTCTGCGGCCTCTAGTTATTGCTGCGTTGACACTTGTCGGTCGACTCTGGGTCGGATGGCCTCCTTTCATTTCTTTTTTTGGAAGTATGATCAACTTGTATATGATTGCATGGTTATTTTTGGGATAGCGCTTCCATAGTCTGTTTGAATTGTGATAGGGAAATGATGGGTGCATAGATCTTTGATTATTTTGTGTTGAACCGAGTCAGTAGCAACGTACAGGAACCATGGTTCATGGTAGCCCGTCTGCCTCACTAGCAACCCCTGGTGGGCCAGTCCAGCGCTTAAGATCAAGACGAAGCGCGAATGATTTGCTTAGGACGAGTGGGATGAGGAGCCAGACGGAAAAAAAAGGGGAAAGAGGGGAGGAAAGAGGGAGGAAATCATGGGTCTGATGTTGCGAAAGCTCACCATCTTCTCCTTACTACCTTACCTATCTACCTTTACAATGTAAGGTACCTTAGACTGGTAAGGTACTTACTTCTACGGAAGGCTGGAATGATTGGACCAGGCTTCATCCCGCAACTCAAAGGAAGTCTTTTTTCTTCATTTCCTTTTCCCATTTGCCCGTTCCTTCCTCGCCTCTATGGTAAAATTGCTCGCGATGAAGGTAACAGCCGAAAGCTCTTCCAGCTATGGCCAGATACCAATTAAGCTTGTCCTGCGGGCGATGCGGGGCAGATCGAGGCTCGTCAATGTCCCTTTTGATTTCATCGAATCAAACGGCGACATGGGCTTTCAGTGAGCTCGTGTGGAAACTATTCAACTTTCCCCGGTGCTATGATAAATGTTGGCACATAGCGTCTGAGATGCAGGTGCTCGATAATTCTGTGGTCCGCGACGCTTTCCCGTCCACATCTCTTCGTCTCTTGAAATCGGTGTCATTTATTGATGTTCTGTAGATGACGGCGACGAACAACATGAGGACGCACGTATGTATGCCCAACACAGTGCCAGAGGGAAGCAACGAATCATGGCGGTCCCTTTTCAGCAGACGGTTTGGGTCAACTTTGAGCCTAATAGATGTCTGTCTTCGCTGGCAAAGCTGTGTTCCATGCAAAAGGTTTGCTTTAACCGCACGAGCTGGGTGTTTCATCTGGTGTTGCCTCTTTGGGTTGAGGTTCCTGCCGGGATATCTCCAGCACCCTTGTCTCCTTCTGCTTGCTGTCGCTTCTTACCTGTCTGCAACCCCATGTCCCCATGGCATCTGTTCATGCAGAGCGGCCTGGCTTTTGACCATTCGTTTTTCAAGGCTAACAGGGACGATGTGTTTTAAAAGTCCTCGGTCCAGATTCATAATTGAATCATTGATGAGCTGGCATTGTGGTTTCTGGGCCCGCTTTCGACCTTTACGGTGGCCTTACTGGCTGGTGTGAGCAAATCCTGACTTCAATTCGTCGCTTCTGCTCCTATGGGGCGCCTCTCCGCTTTTGGGCAACTAGACCACACCTCTCCACTATCTTGTCATTCCAGAAGGAGGGGCTTCCACCTTCTTGTGCTTGGAGAAGCGTCCATGAGGCGTCTAGATCCTTCGTACCCGATAGGAAGCAATGTTTGCTGGAATCAACAGAAGGAAAGGGAGAGAGCAAGTGTCAAGGCAAGTGAAGGAGACGAGATGTCTGTTGTTCAAGGCGGATCTGTGAACTGGCTTCCTTGTACCACAGCAGTTCCTTTTGCCTCTGCGCCATCCGATCCTTGCCATCAAATGGATCTGGTTCTCGGTGGAGCTCCGTCGCACCTTTTTCTTGGTAATTGGCGTTTCTTCAAGGTACATTCTCAGTCGGCGTGCGCCGGGCCGTTCCAGCATTGCAGCCTCAAAATGATCCGCATGTTCTCCATGCAACTGGCGGCCTTTTGACTGGAGGACCAGGGAGGGGGAAAGAATTTGCTGGCGCTGTAGCTTGTCCCCAGCGACATGCATAAGCCCGTCTGTTAGGTTTCATGGTTAGGCTCCGTGTTTGTCACGCCAAAACTGTCTTGCTTGTACAGGGAAATAAAAAAAAAACGATTTGGGGTCAAGCATGGCCCACAGTTTATATGACCCCCCGCTTCCCATGTCCATAAGGGCTATTTGAGTGGGAAAGAGAAAATTCAAAAGAGGTATTACTGTCTTGTCAAAAGCGATACAAAAGCTCCTGGCTCGATTGATTCTGCTGCTCGAGGGTCTTCTTTTTTTATTCATCTTTGCCTTCCAGAAACCGTCTGCATTCCAGTTGGCACTTGCTTGCGTCTTCTTGGGCAAAAGTTCTGCGGAGGGGTCGTTGGCTCTTGATATTCTCAAATCTTATCTACGCTTTAATCTTCTTCAATTTCAGCCCTCATTTTTGTGGGTGGCAAGGGACCACGATACCGCGAAGAATCATATTATATTTTGGACAAGAAAACCACTTCAACATGAGCTCGACCCAAGGAAATGCTGGTCGGAAGGCTGAATGGATAGAGAAACTTGAGAGTATGCCCCACTTGACCTACAATTTACAATTTCCTTGAAGGAAATCGTCAGTGTGCCGTACGGTTTATCGTTCGTGGGACTAATTCCAGGCTGTATCTTCCTGCAGAGCATTGCAAAACTGCAGGCCTTGGAACTCCGGTGTACACATTGTTCTCCGATCGTCGAGGTAACTGAAACCCTTCGCTCCTCTCCATTCTCTCTCACTTTTTCCTTTTTTTTTTTTTTTTTTCCCCTTTCACAGGTCCTGATTGCGTATATATTCTTCCCCTGCGTTGCATCTCCTTCGTCCATTCCTCTTCCTGGAAAGCTACCCTGTGGGTGAACTGAATGGTGCCCAGTGTGTATTGCGGCATCAGGATTGTGGAATAACTTTTCCCTTCACCGACTTTCAGACCTGACAGCTTGTTGTACCATGTGCTAACAGCTTTATGTCTCCAAAACAGGAGGTCGGACAGCTTGGAGCTCAAACGTGAGGGTACAAGGTAGAGCATATTCCGCGCGGTACTGGTACGATGGCAACTTCACAATTAACGCCAAACATGACGCTGCAGAGGTAGCTCTCACGCTCCTGACCTACCAACAGCAACCTCAAGCTGGCTCCGAAACTCTGCCCGGAAAGGTGTGGCCGTAGCAGGCGAGCAAATACGGGAATATGGTCAGGATAGGGTGGGGTTCAATGGGTTCGACACGGCTGAGAATTACTTTCATTTCTCTGTCTGGCTTGCTTGGGCCGGACCGAATGATCGCCTTCTCCCCTCCTCTTTTTGCCTTTTTCCTTTGTCGCCCCTATGACCGCGTACGACGACTTGATGCCCGACTCTTCGGGTTCCGCAGACGTTATGTACAACATTCTCGGCTGTCGACATTCTCCTTTGTGCAATACCCTGCAACAAGCACTGGAACACATCGATGACTACGATGCTGAAGTGGGTGGACAATCGGAAAACGAACATTTCTTGGTTGCCGCTCGCCGCAACTTCTTTCTACAGGACTACAGAACACCAGCCTCTGCCATATTTACTCGGCTCTTTTCGTTTTACACTCTCTATTGCAAGCGGCCCGGTTATGCTTTTCTGTTCGACTTATCGACCTTCTGTACATTTCTCTTTACTTCCTTTCAGTTTCGCAAGGCACTCGCACTACTGTGACCTTGCTACGAGATGATGACGACAGAACTGTGACGAACAATCCGGATATTCGAATTTTGTTTTCATTGCGTGCATTTTGGATTCTTACTGTCAAAATCTTTGACCTTTCTGGTGATTCCAGCTCCTGTGTATCTTTCTTGTGACAGTCATACCTAGACAGGTCTTGCCATTTGCTCCTTGTGTACGCGGGTCTTTGGATGCCACCGGCACCAGATGGGCCAGTGATTACAATTCTTGCTCGTGCGAATCGACCATCTAGGAGAAAATGGTCTCATTTTCGTTGCCACGTGCCAGTGCTGAGCCATCAGAGTAGACAGTAGGACTACCTTTTTCTGATTTTTCCCACCCACCTACTGTTCCTGGGTTGCTCCACCTTCTTGAACTTTCAACGACGGTTGGGAACTTGGGGGCTCTTCTTAGAAGGGCTATTTTATGCACTAATAGTGCGGGTTCGTTGTCCAGCTGGAAATCACGGTGTTAAATAAAGTACGGTTACAGTGTTCCGTATCCTTGGTTGCACCATGTCACATCTTGAGCTTAACCTTAAATTTTCCGGCTGAGCGTTCGGCGTTCACGTGCTTACCGCCGGATGAATCAATTCCGCTTGTGGGCCAACTGGTCATGGCCAGCCTCGGCTACGGGGAACACTATGGGATTAATTTTCCTCTTCGACTTCGCGTGGCGTTCGCTTGATTGCAGTGTCACAGATGATATTTTCGCCGAAAACTGTCAAGGAAAAAAAAAAAATATGGAGAAATAACACCTACTTGAACTCATCCCCATCAATAAGCAAATCTTCTCCCGCTTGCTCTGGCTCTACGGTTCAACCACCCGTAATAGCATCGGAGCATGATGCACCCTGCACAAACAAACAGGAGTAATCCAGCATTAGTCCAGTGGCCCGTCGGGTATCCCCTCTTCGCTTCGTTGGCTTTGTAAATCCACACGCCAACAATTTGACCAGGGGCGCCGAAGGACACGTTCAGGGCTATTGCTAGTCCGGTGCCGGCTGTGGAGCGGAGGTTGGAGGAGAGCCAGCCCAGGAGCGGGGGAATGCAGGCAAAGGCACCGCTGGTGGCGACGATGAGGCAGCCGTAGCGGTGCTGATTCACCGATGTTAGTGGATTCCTTGTAGGGTCTGCGGAGGGAAGGTGGGGGAGGTACTAAGTAAGCGTTTGGTGGGAGGACGGCGGATGCTAAGAAGCCCATTGCACCAATGAAGGAGAAGAGGGCGGAATGCAGGCCACGGCTGATGGTAGACTGTTAGTGCGCGTTTGTGGGGCATGGTGCTGAGGCGAGGACTTATACCTGTTGAAATGATCTGCGGACCAGGCTGCGGTGGTTGTCACAACATATGCTACCGCCCATGGGGGCACTGTCATCAGCTGTGCGCGTAGGTTGGTATACCCTAGACCGCTGGTGATTGCGGGCGTAAAGAGAGAAAGACTGGAAAACGGGGCGGATATGCCGAAGTAGATCTGTTGAGAGGCATTAGTTGTGGGAACAGTAGTGGGCTGGGACAGGCAACAGACGGCATAGTGTGCGTAGAGACGCCAATCTGTTAGTACGGCTTTGGCATCCTCCCAAGTCATGGCTTTGGCTTCTCCCTTGGAGCCTTCCGTTCGCAGCCGTTGAGCGGCGAGGTCTCTCTCTTCTTGTGTGAGCCAACGAGCTGATTCGGGGTAATCGGGAAGAAAGAACCAGACTAGAACGGCTGAAGCGCACGAGGGTGCTCCCTCGATGATGAATAGCCATCGCCATGCTGATAGTCCATGGACCTGGTTCATGTGGCCCACGCCGTATGCGACTGCACCGCCAAAGGCGCCGGCTAGGGTAGCGGATGCGAGGATCAAGGCCACGCGCATGGAGCGCTCGGAGTGTCTATACCAGAAAGTCAGGTAGTAGACCAGGCCAGGGAAGAGTCCCGCTTCCATTACTGACGGTGTCAGTCATTCCGTGAACTTAATACTGGGTCTTGGGAGGGGGTATACCTCCTAGCAGGAAACGCAGGCCGGTGACCTGAGCGAAGTTATGGGCTCCTCCCAAGCCCATTGTGCACGCGCCCCATGACAGCATCAGAAACGCAATCCATCTCTAGATTTTGTAAGCTTCTGATTTCGAACGCTAGATTCTTATGGCATACACTCGGCCTAAGCTTCTTTAAAAAGTAGTTTGAAGGGACTTCGAACAGCGCATAAGCAATGAGGAACACCATAAGCGCAATCCTACCACATGTCAGTTCTACGCTTTAGCGTCAGCTATTCGCACAAAACCTACGTGTATTGATACGAGGTCATCTTAGTCTCAGTTAGGAGGTCATTGTGCGTATCATGGTTGAGAATTTTTGCATTTCCTTTGCCGAGCAAGGTGAGGACTGACCGAGCAAGAGTCAGATTCATGCTTACCAATGTTAGATCTATCTAGATAGCAGAGAAGATAGATCGCTGCACATAGAGGAACGATGCGCAAGTCTTGTTTCCAAACCAGTGCTTTCTCCTGAGGACTGCGGTATGATGCATCAAAATGCTGCTCATCGATGTCCTATGTTATCAATTAGCAATGACAGCTACAACTCAAATCCTTATTCCGCTCCGCATACATCAGACACGATCTCAACATCGCGAGCATCTTCCACGCTCGGGTGGGTTTTCGGCTCGCGCATTTTCGCGGGGGTAGACAACGAAAAAGCCACGGGTGAAAGTGAACAAGATTTTGAGAAGCACTTCTTTTCTTGAGCATATTTATAGGCTCGGGTCTGGCAGCACCGGTTGGAGTCCCCCGCACAAGTATGCGGGCTCCGCTGACTGGGGTAACCCCGTTCTAAAGAAAAGGCGATTCCACGATGTCGGTGAACCTCCGACGGTCATGACCAAAGATGGTTAACCACCATTTAGGCACTTAGCACAGTGATTGGTTGCTGTCATAACAGAAAAAGGCATTTGATCGGCGGGTCCGTATCGGCATTGCCGTTGACACAACGAACATTATTGGAGTCACGAAAGGAAGATGTAAGTCGTATCCAACCTAGCACTTGCAACGGAACTTGGAAGCGATGTGATGCTTCGGTTGGGACGCGACTGGTTCGGCTGGTTCTCTCGCGAATCTGGATTTGGCCGTCCCTACAGCGCAGGGGATCACGTAGGAGACGGCAGATTATCACTTTGGGAGTGGCTCGATTCGCTTGAAGTGTGTAGTCACTTGGGCCACCTCAGGCATCCTTTTCCAAGATTATGAGAAATACACAGCCTACATCACTAAGGGCCACTGTCAGTCGCTTTGGTCTATCAATTTTCTCACTTTCCGCTTTATGAGGATATGTGAATCTTGTCACTTGCACAGGCTCACCATTTGGCGCCGGAGGGCTTGACATCTACATAGTGCGGTAGACAATCTTGGACAAGCTTTCGAGTCGGGCATCATGAAGACAATTCGAATTTTCTCCCCGCAATTCTTCTTTGGACTCTGGCTGAGAAAACCTAATCTACTCCCCGTGTTTGTATGTTTTTGAATATAGAGGTATGTGAAGAAGAGGACAACGGTCAAGCTGATTGGTCATGGGGAAAGCTTCGAAGTTTGCCCAGTTGGGTTAGCGCCAATCTTTATCTATCGATAATGATTGAATCGTGATTTTGTTGCATTTCTCTGCTGTTGTGCGTCAATTATCTACCCTTTCTCTCTCAATGAAATGTCCTGCATATTATTCAAGCATTCATTCCTATAATAGCATCTTAAGAGGTATAAACAGTCGTTCTGTGTCAAAATTAAACTCCAATCCAGCCCTGCGCACCCCTCAGATTGCAAACATGGTGACAGAAGCTACCCCTCCGCGCAGAAAGATGCCATCTGCATTGACTTTCGACCTACATAAAAAGTGCTCAGTAAGCTCTCACCACCCGTTAAATTTTCTGGTATACTCGATTTTTTGATCTAATCAGGGACCAAACGTAGACAACCAAAGCGCGCGCTAGCACCCTCCATCTCCCTCATGGTTCCGTTCCGCTTCCCATCTTTATGCCGGTTGCGACACAGGCGTCCCTCAAGGGACTCACGTATGACCAGCTGAAGCAGACAGGCTGCATGCTGTGCTTGAATAATACATACCATCTGGGCCTGAAACCGGGGCAGGAGGTTCTAGACCAAGTGGGCGGGGCGCATAAGCTCCAAGGATGGGATCGAAATATCCTGACAGATAGCGGCGGGTGAGCTATCTCTGGCTTTTTTTCGACCTGACACTGACGCCTGCAATATGTAGTTTTCAGATGGTTTCTCTACTGAAGCTCGCAAAGGTCACCGAGGAAGGTGTCCGATTCCTCAGTCCCCACGATGGAACCCCGATGTGTGTGTCCTTGCCCGTTCGGATGCGCAACAAATCCCACTGACCAGGGGTTTTTCTAGGCTACTCACACCAGAACATTCAATCTCGTTGCAGAACTCGATCGGCTCGGATATCATCATGCAGCTGGACGACGTCATTGCAACTACCTCTCCCGACCATGCCAGAATTCACGAGGCTATGGAACGATCCGTTCGGTGGTTAGACCGCTGTATCGATGCGCACAAGTATCCCGAGAGACAGAACCTTTTCTGCATCATTCAAGGCGGTCTAGACCTAGAGCTACGGAAGCAGTGCTGCGCTGAGATGGTTGCGCGAGATACACCGGGTATTGCTATCGGAGGTCTATCAGGTGGTGAAGCAAAGGAGGAGTTTTGTAAAGTGTACGTGTTGGCGTGAATGCGGTATGAAGTTCGTTCAGCTGACAGTTATAGGGTGGATACGTGCACTGGGCTCCTTCCAGAGCACAAGCCCAGATACGTGATGGGAGTGGTGAGTATTAGCTTTCCCCCTCCGGAGGGCAGTCTCTTTTTTATTGACGCTGCTCAGGGTTATCCGGAAGATCTCGTTGTAGCAGTTGCCCTCGGTGCGGACATGTTCGATTGCGTATGGCCAACGAGAACGGCGGTAAGGACAAATTCCGCAAATCGGTTGAACACAAGTTGTGACTGACGATTGGTAGCGATTCGGAAATGCTGTGGTTCCTTCCGGCTCCCTGAACCTACGCCATAAGTCGTTTGCCGAGGACTTCCGACCTGTACAGGAAGGGTGCAACTGTTCTTGTTGCCGGCCCAAAGAACAAGGCGGCTTGGGGATTACGCGAGCGTATATCCACCACCTGGCTGCCAAAGAGACAGTTGGAGCTCATCTGTGAGACTTCCATTCAGAACCCGAGGGATGCTAGTGCTAATTTTCAACAGTCTCACCATTCATAATGTTCACTACTTGCTTTCCCTAATGGGATCCGCTCGCCAGGCCATTTTGGAAGATCGATATCCAGCATTTCTGCGTGAGTTTTTCGACAATTTGTATGGGGATAAAGCGAAATTCCCTGAGTGGGCAGTCACTGCGCTGCGTGGCGTTGGAGTTGATCTGCTGGCAGACTAGCATGCTTGCTGATAGAGTATCTTTATCTACATCACATAACCTTAAGACGGGTGTCGAGCAACATTCGACACCCTGGTACAACTGCCAGAGTTCATCTATAGTAATATTGCCAAATTTGGAACCTAATGTAACTGTAGCCTGATAACCTGCTTATCACCACGTGATTTCGCGCGTCGCGTTTACGCGTTACTCAAAAAGTCCTCCGCAAAGCAATGTGGACAATGAAGCAACTCAAATCACCATGACAGTTCAATCCAAAGGGCAAGCAAGCATCATGTCGCCGGCAGTCGTGACGCCGCAAGATACCCCCAGCCAGTCCGTCACACCGACTCCTCCTCACAACCCCGCTCACGAGGAACATCAGTACCTCAACCTCATCCGCACCATCCTCGCTGAAGGCGAGCATCGTCCCGACCGCACAGGCACTGGCACTCGCTCAATCTTCGCACCACCACAGCTGCGCTTCTCGCTCTCCAAGCCTGGCGCTACACCCTCCTCGGACCCGATCCCCGTCCTCCCCCTCCTCACCACCAAACGCGTTTTCCTTCGCGCCGTCATCGCAGAGCTCCTCTGGTTCATCTCCGGTTGTACCTCTTCCATCCCCCTCTCGGAAGCAGGCATCAAAATCTGGGACGGTAACGGGAGCCGCGAGTTCCTGGACAAAGTCGGGCTCGGACACCGCGAGGTCGGCGATCTAGGCCCCGTCTATGGGTTCCAGTGGCGGCATTTTGGGGCGCAGTACGTCGACGCCAAGACGGATTATACGGGTCAAGGCGTCGACCAGCTCGCAGAGGTCGTGCGCAAGCTGAAAGAAACGCCCTTTGATCGGCGCATTATCATGAGTGCGTGGAACCCGGCGGATCTGAAGAAGATGGCTCTCCCGCCTTGCCATATGTTTGCGCAGTTCTATGTCTCATATCCGAATGGCCTGGACCAGAAGGGGAGTCTGTCGTGTCAGCTGTATCAGCGTTCGTGCGATATGGGGCTCGGGGTACCGTTCAACATTGCGTCGTATGCCCTGCTGACACACATACTGGCCCATGCGACGGATCTCAACCCGGGCACCCTGATTCATACCATGGGTGATGCGCATGTGTATCTGGACCATGTCGACGCGTTGAATGAGCAGCTCAAGCGGGAGCCTACTGAGTTCCCGGAACTGCGCATCAAGCGTGATGATCGCGGTAGTGGAGTTGTGGATGGTTGGAAGGAAGAGGAGTTTGAGGTCATTGGGTACCAGCCTCACAAGGCTATCAAGATGAACATGAGCGTTTGACCTCATACAGGGTTTTATACGGTGTTTGATACCAGCGTTTCTTATATAGCTTAGAATCTTGATTTGAATAAATAGACCCGCCTGTGCATGACATCTAAGGACGACTCCAATACGCCCGAGCTCAGGGAGATACGTAAAAGGTATATGTAGAAGGTATCCAAAACGCTATTGGTGTATCATATGCTAAATATGCAGTTCCAGATGGCAGGGGATCCAGAAGGAAAAAGGAACGCAGCGGATCAATCCCTCACGACTTACCCAGAACAACTCCCGCCCCTCTCAACAAGACAATAGTGTGACCCTGCTTCACCTTCCCACCCCCAATCGTCTCCGAAAACTCCAAAAACTCTCCCGAATCGACATGGAAGATCCGCAACCGCTCCTCCTCCCCAGCCCGATTGTTCACGTTCTCAATCCGCAACCTCCGCGCTGCATCATCCAGCACCCGACCAACCTTCCACCTCGAATCAAACCAAAAATCCCCCGAGGGCGGCTCCGCCTTTTGGGCCTCCGCATCCGCCGTCCCAACCACGTGCAGATACAGCCGCTTGTCAGCTGGGACCCCCGCATCGCCCTTGGCTGCCTTCTTCAGCGCATTCAGCTCCGAGATCCGCGCAGCCGCGCTATTGGCCTTGGGCTTCGGCGCCAGCGCCTGTCCCTTGTCTTTCCCCCATGTACGCACCCGCGCGAACATCGACCGGATCGTCTCCGCATTGCTTGCGCCCTGGTTGCCTGCTCGAGCCCCCAGCGGTGCGATCTTCGCGCACTCGTGCTCTTCCCGGAGCCGGTGCCGCAGACAATACTGTCTATTACAGTTTGGGCAGCGCACGCCGGGGTCTTTCAGCGTGTTGATGAGCGTCTTGCAGTCGAGATGTGCGCATTGGTCTGAGTTGTAGATTGTGGGTTTCTGAGTGGGAAGGCTCGCTGTGCTGGTGTTCTGGTTGCCATTGCGGCGGCGGGCCCATTCGCCGGCTTTGGGGCAGCGGTGGGCGGTTTCGGTGCGGTGGTCAAGGCAGAAAGTGCCGCGGCAGGATTCACAGCGGAAAGGGAGGAAGTCGAGTTGGTGGCAGTATTCGAATTGGCAGTGTCTGCCGATGGACTCGAGGTCCTTATCGGCCATTTGCGTGAAGGATTCTTGGGCATTCGGGCTGGGTGTCCGGCCTTTGGAGACGCTTATGGGTGACATGGTGGGAAATCGCCTTTCAGAACAGAACTAAACGAAGGAAATAGTCAAAGAGAGCGTCTGATTATATCTGAGTAAAGAGAGAAAGGATGAATAATGCGCAACAAGAGATGGCGCTAGAAGCCACTGGCAACATGTGGAGAGAAGTGCCTGACTCAGCACTATCAGGACGACTGGATGAGGCGCAGTAACGCGGAGAAGAAGATTCCAGTGTGGCTGTGGCGCTGATTATCTGATCTAGAGATCCGGAGATCTGGAGATAAGCAAAGCACATCATCTGCACCTCTCTATTTGTTCCACTTTGTGTGGTGTTCTCGACCATTGCGTAATCGTTAGGCGCCGACACAGGAACTTGACTTAAATAATAGTACACAGAGAAGTTAATTAGTTGAATTTAATCCATTCTTATGATGTAACCTAAGCATCACTAGTGAAGAGACAAGGCTGGTTAAGACCCAAACTAACAAACTCAGTACAACTCAGGGGGTATATTCAAACATGAGACTAAATCAACAAGAGAAAGGCATATTGGATAACATAAAGAACTGGCAAGGTTAGCGCATGGAGTCCGGAGCGGGAACAGAAGGGAAAGACATTCAAAGATCGAAGTGAATCAGTGTTGTTCATGTTTATGATTGTGATCATGCATAAGATCAGGATGACCAGTCCCTGCATTATCACTATGGCTGAAAAGCCTTGGCTGCTGCATAGCTAAGGCCTGCTCCTCCTTAGGAACAGTGCTTGCCGGCGCAAAAGGAATAGGGCCGCTGGACGTAAGAACGGGAAGTCCATTCATTGTCTGACGCGCGGTTGTTGGTGGTGTGTATACAGTAGGCCGAGCGGGGAGGGATTCTGAAGCCAATGAGGACGGGGTAGCTGTCCCAGAAGGAGGCTCCTGCGTCGAGGCAGAACCAGACACTGGCACATCCTTTGGTCTTTCCCAGCGAGGGCGATCAATAGTGACGTTGCTCAAGAGCGGCATTTTATTTTCAGCCAAAGGATCAGGAGACGAAACAACGAGCTCCTCTGGTGCGTTTTCTGGGCTCTCCTGCTTCACCCGACGCATGTCCCCGTTGGAGTCGACTAAATTCGGACGAGAAGGCATCTGAGAGATGCTAGGACTCGGCGAGGGGTGAGAAGTCCCTCTGGCAGTAGAAGCATGCGCGGTCGTGGTGAGGCTTGAGGCTTTCTTGGAGGATCTCGGTGTCCTGGATGTTGTCGGCCTGGGAGCGCGCCTTTGACGTTCCTCTGTCGCTTTTCTCTCTTTCTCGCGAGCGGCGTGTTCTTCAGGGGTAGGCACCTTCAATTTGATACTCAGTTTCTTCACGCCGGCTGCCAAATCGTCCAAATCTACAGGTCTGGAATCCGTCTTCTCGGTCATTGCCGCCTGTGTTTTGTCGGAAATGATCTTCTGATCATCGCCAGTGGCTGGTTTTGAGAGAAAACCAGACGGCACGCGCGGTACAGGAGGCACCTTGGGACCCTCAGTCCGTTTGGGAGCAGCGGACCGTGACGGAGTACTCGATCTGCGGCTGCTAGGAGACTCCGGTGGATAATTACCCGCGGCTATGCTGGATTGTACGGGCGTTTCGCTGGCCCCAACGTTCAACGAGCTCGAATTGTTTGGGCCAGTCTCGGCTGTACCCGAAGGCTTAGAAGCAGTCGGAGTTGTGCTTTTCCTCCGAGTTGGCCTGACCGCAGGCGAGCTATCAGCAGTTGAACTTGGCAGGTCACCAGGGTCGATAGTAATCCTCCGAGTGCTCTTCGTAACCTTTTTCTTTGGGGTCTCCGCCTTTGGGCTGCTAGGCAAAGAAGCCTTGGTCTTTCTCGTCCGTAGCTGCATCCGATTTCCTTCCAGTGCCGCTGAAGCTGCTGATGCTGCGTTAGTGGCCTTCTGAGCGGCATGGGCGGCAGCCACAGCGGTCTGACGCTCCCGCCGAATGCGTGAAGCTTCTGCATTAAGTTCTTCCGGACGATAACTCGTGGTCTGACGATGGCTGGGAATAAGGATTTTAGATAATTCATGTGCTGCCGTAGCCCAGCCTACCTCTGGCAAGGGTACAACATCCGAGCTCGCCTGTGAGCCAGTAGATTTGCGATCTCGAGGGGGAGTCACGACTTTGGCAGTGAAAGATTGCGTTGGTGCAAAATAGGTGCGAGCAGACTTTGACTTTGGCGCTGTGGCAGGAGGTGGATAGACAAGCGACTCCAGTTCCTCGAGTCTTGTTGGCGCCCACCACCCATTATCGTAACCAATATCAGACGGGGTGCGCCTTGCTTCAGCTGGAGCATTGTTGTCCGATACATGCAAGCGATCAAACATTTCGGAAGCCAGGCCGACTTGCTGCTCATGGTTGATGACGGCCGAAATCGTCGATGTGTCTCCCAGCGCTGCGAGATGACTGAGGACGCCGCTGGTCAATGCTCGATTACTATATCCCCCTTCCAAGACGCTGATGACACGCCCATCTACTCCTAGCCCTTCTTCCTGCGCCATCTGCACAACATCCGCAGTGAACTTTGCATAGAACTCGGTCGGTACATTCACTTGATGCCTCTGCATACCGGAGCCCTCCCACTCACTCGCGTCAAATCCTGCAGAAATGAAAATTGCCGCTTTTGGCGGAGTGTCGCCGGGCGCGCTATCAAGCAGGCGTTCGGTGTGCAGACGTAGAAAAGCGCGCGCTTTCTCTAACAGTACGGTGTATTTGGCGGCATAGATATCCCAGAACTCCTCGTCAGACTTCCACGTCTCCAAGTGGATATTCCAAATCGACTGACCGTGGGCCTTATCGATACACACACTGGCGTTCCGCACCTTCTCAAAATCACCATATTCGCAAGGGAATGAGTTGATGTCATGCAAGCTGAAGTAGCCGACTCTCGTTTTCTTGTAATTGGCCGCATTCCAGACGGCTGACACGGCTTTCTGATTCTGTTCCCATGCAATATCTTGCGAACCGTCGCCATGATGCAGGTCGAAATCCAGGATAGCGGCATGGGTCAGGCCATGGGTCATGGCAGCGTAGGTTATCCCCACATGTACATTGTTGATCCAGCAAAATCCAGATGGATGAGAGGTAGAGCAATGGTGGCCAGGGGGTCGAATACAGACGAAGGCTCTTTTGGTAGTGTTGGAATTGAAGACGGCATCGACACCTTCACAGACTCCGCCGAGCGCGCCCTCAAAGGCATTCAAGGATTCGGAGCAAAGGTAAAGGTCGCCGTCATTAAGCGGAGCTTTTTTGGCAGATTCCCCGTCCTTTCCTGAGCTGCGCGGCCGAACCAACTCTTTGCCATTCAGAGCAAGTCTTGATTCTGCCGCATCACACATGGTTTTCAGCTCATCCATCCACTTGGTCCCGTGCACATGAGTAACAGCCGCAGAAGTGAGAGGCAGAGTTCGCGACGTCTTGCGGATTTGGAACGGCGGCGCGGGGAGCTGATGTAGATCAAGGTCAGGATGAGGCGCAAAGCGCTTTCCAGCATGGCGGCCGGCCATGAGGACATAAGCCGCGGATACTCCCACCACACAAGCTTGTATCCTCTCGGGCCGTTCGACGATGTAACTCAAGGCGGTTTTCGACGTTCGTGGCCGCGAGAAACGATGGCCGTAGCATGCGTCATGAACGACCACCACGACTTTGGAATGTAGGTCGGTGGATTGGTGCAAGTCGACTTCTCGTTGGAAGAAATCAGCAGCAACAGAAGCCGCGGTGGGCGCAGCTTGCTCCTGAGGTTTTTTGGACGGCATATTTGACGTGGAAGTGGGGGAAGTCGCGAAGTTGGAGGACGAAGAGCGTCGCGATAGACTGGGACGAGGCGAAGTTGTGCCTGCGCTATTGTGCGCAGATCGAAGCGACGCGGTCGATGATCGCTTTTTCAGGCTGGAGGTGGATTTCCGTCGTTCATCTCGTTCATCTCTCAGAGAATTAGAACTGACAGTTCTTCGCGGTGCAGGATGCGCCAGATCAACAGAAGAACGCACGGGGACGTCCGCAGGCGACAGTAACGAAGATGGGGATAACGCGGCTGGAGAGGCTGGAAGAGGAGTCGCGGCCGCTGAAGCAATTGTCAAATGATTCAGACTATTGGTTAGATCGTTGGGAGTGGGTGTGGGAGGTGGTGATGGTGCAGTGAATGTCGCCTGGGTAGGCTCGTCGCGCATGGAGGGGTCCATGATGGCGATAGAAGTGGCATTTGCACGTTAATCAAATGCTGAGACAGAAACTGCCAGCGTAACGCGTTACTTTTTGAGAAAGATGAGATACAATGGACTGAATTATAGTTATCCGAAGCAGATTAGGAGATGGGAAGTCGAAAGGAGAGAAGCGAAGGGGGGGTGGAACAAGGAGAGAAAACGAGCCATCGTCATTCACCCCCCTCATCCAGCCAAGGGGCAGTCGATCCCTTCCACTCCCCTTCTTCGGCGCCCTTTTTCTCATTATCATTGGGCTGCCGTTACTTGAGTATGACGCGGATCAAACGATGATAACAATGGAATGTTTCTTCGTAAGAAGACTCGGAATTTTCCTTAAAGTCGAGAAGTCAAGTTCATTGGCTATTTTATTCAGATCAGAGATACAGAGCAGATCTTCGATCACATGCCGAACCGAGTCGCATAGATGAAGTCGCGCCTTGGAGGTAATCAACTGAATCAATGGAATCTCGAGATTTTCTCTATCGATCGTGATATGGATCTAAATGAATACAAAAGAAGAGGCAGAGAGCAATGGTATCATCACTTTTCCCCAGAAGAGAAACGCCATTCCCAGCCTTCCAGAACACCACAAGCTTCTTCTGAGCTCCCCAAAAATCACCTATCCCAAGTCATAATGCATTAACATTACTGGCATCAAAATTCAGAAAGTCCGTCATGAATAGGAGAGATCCAAACTCAGAAGGTCCGCGCTCGCAGTCCGCGGAATTGGTACCACTTCCTCGATATCGCTGACGTCTTCTCTTGGAGTGAACTGTCCGTTGAGCCGTCCTCGGAGTTGCGCATAGACTTCTTGGTCTTCTTCTCGGACTTGAAGCCTTTAGTGGCGTGGTGGTGGCAGAAGCATTGCATATGTACCGTTTCGATGCTGACACCCTGACAGCCATTGCGCTTGCGAGCGGCGCAGAGACTCTGACCTGCGTCTTCTGCGCATTGGCACCAGGCGTACTGGGTATAGTACTGCCGACACATGATAATTCAGTGTTTATGAACACTATGTGATCTCTTCGTGGTCTTGGTGCGAGACGATTTCAAGCGGGCGAAATTTGGAGTTGTGATGAGTCGGTTCCGCAGCCTTCCGGTGTGTTATCAGGTCAGATCAACAAGGCAAGCCAGACGCCAGGGATGATGTTATCTTCAATATGAATTCAGCTGTATAGTGTCTGATGCACGGTGGAGTCTCAGATCATAAGAGAGTCGCGGCTCGTTGGGGTGACTGTAATGGCTGATGGCCCGAAAGCTTCCATACAATGCTCTCTTTGTCTGCTGCCGGATTCGCAGCTCAGAGTATCCGATTATTGAGAGTCCAGCGGATAATTGTCATAAAGAGAGCGCGCAAAAGAATGCCGCAAGGTTGATTGTGTTTTAATATATGGGTCTGGACGTCAATGTAGTCATGTAGGTTAAGGTTACGGACAGTTGCAGATGCGAATGGGAAGCAGCAATAATCTAGGGTCCAGCCTAGATCTTCCAGAGAAAGAAAGGTTGCAATGACAACGGATAATGACGATGGCAGTGGTGAGTGATGATATAACCGCAATTGATTGTAACTGACGTCAATATACAATGAGTGCTCCCGGTGAAACAGTAGAGTATCACTTTCGGATAGTTATGAATGTCTCATTTCGGCTCCTCCAATATCTCGTAAATCTACTTAGTATTCACATCCTTTACTGTAAGATTTTGTTTCTATTAATATTTTCCTCCGAGCATTGAAGGCTTACTGGCTTACTCAATGGTCCAATCGCCTCTTCTTCCAGGGCTAGATCTCCCGGTGGGCGGTTGATTTAGGCGCCTGCATTTAGATGGAGATGGGACTATCTTACTGTTCAGCTTGGATTTTACATTTTATTCACTCTTTTTGCCCTGCTTTCCGTTTGAATGGGTCCTTTCATCATGAACAATGAATGGACATCAGCCAACTGCGCCTCATGCCAGGCAGCATTGTAATTCTTGGCCGTCGGCAGGCGGATGAAAGGACCGTCAAAGAAGCAAACGACATTTGTCTCAGTTTGAGTCTTTGTCTTAAGAATGAAAATGAGGCATACGAAAGTGTAGCCAGTCAGCTAGAGAATTGATCTAGGATGGAGAATGGATGGAGCCCACGAAATTGGATGGACTGTCTTGCTCCATCTAGCTGTGGGTTTGCCGGACCACTTCGGTGTCAGTCTTGAGGATCCAGATGTACCTTAGTAAATCCGTACCCGTCCTCGTACATTGTTGTATTCCACTCAAATCCGAACTAGTGAGGTCCCGCCAATGCGCCAGATCCCGCCCAGACTCCGACATCCGAAGGATCATCATCGATACTAATCAAAAGAGTCATGACGATGACGATCGCTTCATTCAATTCTGGCCCTGCAGAATTTCGCCGGAAGCGGAAATCGCTAAGTTAACCCCGTCATTCTCACGCTAGTACGTATATAGCTTAGCGGCAGGTGTCTGATACTAGCTTGTCATTCGTCATCAGCGCCAGTTCCCGAGCATCACGTGGCTACCTTGTAAGGCATGCTTGTCTAACCTAACTTGGATTAGCGTGCTACTGCTGTATTGAAATGACTTAAGGTATCTCTCTCCATCGGCCACCGATCCTCGTATATCAACGCAAATTCACTACTACCTGGCAATTGTCACCACTATAAGCAGTATTCTTAATCCTATACGGATCTAATCGACTTCAATCCTGAGCCAGGACTGCACAATCACACCTACCACACCATAAACGAGCTCATGCACGACAACCTCCAATGACTTCCACCGAACAAGAACAACAACAACCCTCACCAACATCAACAACAATCATGCCCGCCTCACCCTCGCGAACAGCAACCCTCATCTCGAACCTCTCTTCCGTGGCCTCGCGTGTCAGCACCGCCGCCCTGAACGCCAACCGCCCCGCCACAAAGTCCATCCGCCTCATCGCCGTCTCAAAACTCAAGCCCGCAGCCGATGTCCTCGCCCTCCATAACCCCCCTACAAATCACCTCCACTTCGGCGAAAACTACCTCCAGGAACTTCTCGAGAAATCAAAGCTCCTCCCGCCCAGTATCCGGTGGCACTTCATTGGCGGGCTGCAGTCGAACAAGTGCGTCATGCTCGCGCGTGACGTCCGCGGGCTCTGGGCCGTCGAGTCCGTCGATAGCGAGAAGAAGGCCTCGCTGCTGGATAGAGGGTGGGGGGAGCGGTCTGAGGAAGTCCGTGGCGTGGCCCATGAGGAGCGGCTGCGTGTGTTTGTGCAGGTGAACACCTCCGGCGAGGAGAACAAGGCTGGGGTGGACCCTGTGGCCGGTGCGGTGCCGCTTGCGCGGTTCATCCGGGAGAAGTGTCCGCGGTTGAGGCTGCAGGGGGTGATGACTATCGGGGCGATTGCACGGTCCAAGGCTACGACGCCGGAGACGGAGAATGAGGATTTTGTGTGTCTGCGCGAGACGCGGGATCGCATCGTTAGGGAGCTGGGGCTGCAGGGTGCCGATGCCGAGCTGGAGCTGAGTATGGGCATGAGTGAGGACTTTGAGGGCGCGATCAAGCTGGGGAGTGATGAGGTGCGTGTCGGGACGACGATTTTCGGTGAGCGGCCGCCCAAGTCCGAGGCAAAGGTGGTGTAGATGATGTTGGGGAGAGTGATGATTTACGACATTTGCATTACTACTGGCATTGCATCAGAGGTCTTGTCTACCAGCCAGCCCTGCCGCATGGCCGGTGGGAAGATTGCACATATAATTAGGATGTTGTACGGCTTGATTACTGCTCAAAGCCACGGGGATATATGTACCTTGCTAGCATCAATAATTACATCAAAGGTAATCTCGTCTTTGGAGAGAAAGTCCGGAACGAGAGTATTACTAGTCAGTCATAAGACCATCCATCATCTTGTCAGCTGCCTGTTCCCATCTGTGTTCATCGTGAGCCAAACATCTCATCCGATGCGCCTTGCGCCAGTTTCTGCTCCATCTGTCTCGCTAGTGCTTGCGGCACAGCTTCTTGCGTGGCCCGAATGGTAACCCGGAACATCTGCGGAAATCGATATTAGTAAAGTGTAGGGAACTCATGCTCGGCAAATCCCTACCTTGCGTTCATAGTTGGGCTCCAGCCGTAGCAGACATCCAGTCTTCCCGCCATGGAACTGGTACACAGCACATCCGACGATGTTATTGGGATTGGGGTCCACATTCTCCAGGATCCTCCAGCGGAACCCTTCCACAAGGCGTCGTGTAAAGGCCTCAGTGATATTCTTCGCCTTGGCGGTGACACCGAAAGTGTGCTGCGCCTCGAGCGGGGGACCGCCAATCTGCCTCCACCGCTTGAAGAACTCTTCTGCTGACAGATTCGACGGCTCCATGTAGCGGTGCATCAGCACAGGGAGCTGTAGGGTGTAAGCCTGAAGCGCTCCAGCAAGGTACGAGATCCGGATGGTGGGTGCTTCGCTAAACGGCCCGTGAGCCTCAAAGAATAGCGTCTGCTGGGTTTGGCCCGCAGCCGGAACAGAAGGCTCTGGGAGACTCTTGCTATCAATCTTCAGGTTTGGCGCCGCAGGGTTGTCCAGTGTAGTCGTCAAAGACCCGATCGCGAATGAGGATTTGTTGGAGATGTAGATCTTCACGACGCCCATGTGGCCACGATACTCGGACCGCAAGCCAACCTGGATTTGCGCATCCTCGAAAAGCACGCCTTCATCCGCAAAGTATAATCTATTGTACCCTGGTTCCCAGTCAGGCGTAAGATGAGCTGCACTGGCCATATTCGGCGGGGGCGCAGATGGAGCGCTGAGGTCAAGCCCGGCCAGGTCGCCAGAGGCGTTTGACGTTGCCGCCGACCCGTTGGCTCCGGTTTTGGTACCATGGACAATAGTGGTAAATGTACGCTTAAGTCCGGTGTTCTGTGCTAGGAGAACTTCTTTCTTGTCCGCGTTAGCATCCTTGCCACCCACGACCCAAGTCTTCTTCTCGGTCGTGCCGGCCGTCTTCTGATGCAGCCGAGACAGAAGGATAGAGGTTCGCTCCGAAAATGGAGGCATCTCATCACACACGGTCCGGAGGAGGTCATCCGTGGGAAGCGTTGCCATTGTCAAGTATTCAAAAGCGCGCTGCTGTAACTCGGTATCGGGAGAGTGGCTGTAGAGACGGAAAATGTGCAAGAGTTGTGGCTTGATTTCCGGAAAGAGATTGACAAATTTAATGAAGGAGGATAAGATCATGGCACGAGTGTTGTCGTTACTTGTGATCATCTTCCCTTGCAAAGCCAAGAACTGCTCAATAGGACTCGAGCCTTCATTGTCGGCAATCAAATGACCAAATTCTCCTAGGACATAGCAACCGATCTTGACCAGGCTCTCATGGCAGTCCGTCTTCAGGTAGCCTAAAAGCGTGTGTGCGGCATAGGCTTGTAATTCTTCGTTGTTGGTCACAATCTGGATGACTCGCTGCCATACTTCGTCGTTGACATGGTCGCCTGCCAAGGACAGCAGCTTCAATGTAATGTCGATGTACCACTGGGCATCAGTGGCGTACTTTTCCGTGAGAATCGCAACCTTGAGTACCATCTCTTCTCGAATGGCGTAGTCCGCGGTCTGCAGGTACCGTAGGAGTTCGTTCACAATGGGAGCCGCATTTGTGGTGTCGCACATGCTATAGATCAGGTCCAATCCTTTGCGCCGCACGCTGATATCTCGATCTCGAAGCGAACCTAAGATTATGTTCTGATGCTTCTTGATGGGGTCAAGAGTTTCGGCCCTGGCGGCGAAGTGCGTCATGGCCTCCAAACCGAGGTAGCGGACATTTGTCTCTCGAGACTGAATGTATTTACCCAAACGGGAGGATATTTGCATCATGAGGTTATGCTCAGTATCTAGATGAATAAGGAGGTTGATAGCCTCGAAGAGAATGGCATTTTGAGCATTGTTTTGCTGGACATTCTTTGGTGTATCCATGGCCGCAGTCATGATCTGTTGCAGGGATGCTCGAATGATCTCCCGGACGTGACTGTCCTCTGTAAGAGGTGTGAGTCTGAGAAAGGAAAGCCTGTATGATAAAGATAGACCACTTACGTGAGGGCGGATAGTACTGAAGTAAGCGCAGCAGTTTGACCTGGATCCAAGGACAGGGCACACGGTAGTACAGATAATCAGGTGCGATTTCGTTGTCGACCACGATCCTCTTGAGACGCTGCGCAGCTTTAATATAGCTCCCCTTGTATTCTTCCGGCCTATCTTGCGCCAATGCCATGATGAGAGATGTGACAGACAAGGTGACACCCATGTCCGGGTCGTCCATCAAAGAGATCATTCGCTCGGCCCATTCGTTTTGCACGATGCCAGGGTATTTTCGGTACAGTCGAAGCAGAGTCAAGGCAGCCTTCTTCTTCACGAAGGCTTTAGATGTCCTACAGCCTTATTAGTCGTCACACTCCAGAGAAACAAAACATCGATACTCACGGGGAAATCAGCAGCCGATGGACGTCCGTACTCAGCGCCTCGCCCATCTCCCGCCCACCAACATTGGCGACAGCATGCAGCGCCAAACAGTTGAACAACTCATTATGATCAAGTAGATCTTTCCGGATACTGTTAACAACCAGATGTAGCAGCTCGTGCTGCTCGTGCAGGAACAGGGTCACAGCCAGGTACCCAATCTGCTTCTCCGAATATTTATTGGAGGAGATCAAGTTGACAGCCTCCAAATGACCGAAATCAACATCATACCCCTGGATATAGACATATAGCAGTTTGCAGACATATTTCTTCTTCTGGTAGCCGTTCAAGTTGCCGGCCTTGAACTTCTGTCGGATATTGGCCAACTCCTTGTTTACCCGCTTCTCCTCAAGCTCGCGCGCTCGCGCGTTACGCAGATCGGCGATGAACTGCACGAGACCTCGCATGGACGACATGATGGGTTGGGTGGATTATCCAGCACACGCTATGCTTTCTGATACGGGTCGTCGATTCCTCACAAAAGCGCAGACACCACGTCGGTGGATTCGCTCAGTCGGACCGTGTCATACAAACATATCCCGGTTTTTGCGTTCACTTAGTTCGTTGCTCTGAGTTATCCTTCTTCAAAGCATCTGGCACATGGCGGGAACGAGACTGTGCAGCTCTACCAGCACAAACAGGGTCTGGAGGTGATGGCTGCGACAAGGGGTGAAAGCCGTTCGAGGGCAGCACAGGCAATTCGTGAACTTCGTGAGGCCGAAGGGGAAATGTCAGATAAGGCGCACGAATAAGATCGAACCTGGAATGTGACCCATAGAACAGATTACAAGCCAAGCTTGAGGTCTTAAAATAGGAGTTCCATGTGCGGTCCGGCTTGCATCAGGAGCAGAGCAACTGTTTCTCCGAGTTGTTAAGCCACTTCCGCTGCCGACCCGCCGGGAGACCCACTGAGACGCAGAGGATTAATGTTGTTGCGATGTGGCGGTGCAGGCACCTCAAAGAGCACAGTTCACGTCGATCAACCAGTCATAAGCACGAATAGACAGGCATCTTCAATATTCAGATGAAAAGTGAAAACGAAATGTGCTGTGCTGAGGAGAATAAGCAAGACAAGCGTAAAATAGGGGCAAAAAATGAATAGGAAAAGGAGTTCAAAAAGCAAAGCATTGCTCTATGCACCCACGCGGGATCGAACCGCGGACCTTTCCATCGCCATTCTTGGCAGTACAAGTGGAATGCTCTACCACTGAGCCATAGGTGCATGTGTGTATTATATAAGCGTACTGTGCTAACGTAATTCCCGGGCGAGCGAAACACCCGACCGAGCGGAACACCCCTCATCGAATTTCAACGCGTTTGAATATTGATTCTATCTACACCACTACCATGCCATCAAAACCGCGTCGCATCTCTCAAAAATTGGTGGAGCAAGAGGGAAGGCTTCAATTAGCAATATCTGCTATAAAAAAGAATGAAATTTCAAGCATTCGCCGCGCTGCAGATATATTTGATGTTCCTCTTTCTACCCTCTACGGCCGAYTGAATGGACGCCAATATCGAATTRAAAAACGTGCCAATGGCTACCGGCTATCTCCTACACAGGAAGAATCATTAGTGGAATGGATACTATCTAGGGATCTACGCGGCGTGCCCCCTAGGCCATCTCATGTGCAGGAAATGGCCAATATCCTTCTCCAAGCAGACGATCTCTCTGGATTCAAACCTGTCGGCAAGAACTGGGTATCTACCTTCATTAAACGACGTGACGAGATTAAAACACGATATGCACGACGGTATAACTATAGTCGAGCTCAATGCGAGGATCCAAAGATTATTAAAGGGTGGTTTGACTGCCTACAACAGATCCAAATGCAATATGGCATCTCCTACGAAGATATCTACAACTTTGATGAAACGGGCTTCGCAATGGGCTTGATTGCGACTACTAAGGTAGTAACAAGAGCTAATATGCCTGGAAAGCCTTATCTCATTCAGCCAGGCAATCGGGAATGGGTTACAACAATTGAATGTGTTAATACCACAGGCTGGGTGCTTCCTTCTTGTATAATCTTCAAGGGGAAGGTTCATATCGAGGGATGGTATCAAGATCAGGCCTTACCACCTGATTGGAGAATCGAAGTCAGTCAAAATGGATGGACAACAGATGAGATAGGCCTTCGATGGCTTCAAAAGGTCTTTATCCCTGCAACAACTAGCCGTACAGTTGGAAGATATCGTCTTCTCATCTTAGACGGCCACGGAAGCCATCTAACGCCTGGCTTTGACAAAGCCTGCAGGGATAATAATATTATTGCTATCTGCATGCCTGCTCATTCTTCTCATCTCTTGCAACCACTAGATGTTGGTTGTTTTGGCCCTTTAAAGCGTGCTTACGGAGGCCTTGTTGAGCAAAAGATGCGCTTAGGATACAACCATATTGATAAGTTTGACTTCCTTAAAGCATATCCAGCAGCTCATCTAGAGGTATTTACACCTCTAAATATCCAAAATGGCTTCGCGGCAGCTGGAATCCACCCTTTGAAGCCAGAGAGGGTGCTTGAGAAGCTAAATATCCATATCTCAACCCCTACCCCCCCTCCAAGCCGTGCATCAACCAACTCATCTTGGCTTGCTACGCCTCATACACTTCGGCAATTACGCAAGCAAGCATCCTCAGTTAAGAAGCTCCTAAAACAACGCTCTCAAAGCCCTTTGACGCCTTCAAAATTAGCTATACAACAGCTTATCAAAGGTTGCGAGATGGCTATGCACAGTGCGGCCCTACTAGCAAAGGAGAACCATGATCTACGCGCAGACAATGAGAAAGAGAAGCAGAAAAGGAAGCAATCTAGACGCCAGATGACTCCTAATAAAGGACTCTCCATCCGGGAAGCTAGGGATCTTATCCAGGCAAGAAATGAGCAAGATGAGATTGGGGGGGCATCCATTGATTCTACACCTCTACCTTTAGAACCACCAAAACGCGCGCCACCAAGGTGTACAAATTGCTTCATTGTAGGGCATATTAGAACTAGATGCCCTACACGCCATACTAGCTAGATCTAGTAAAAATATATTGTTTTGGTTGATTTTGATAGCTTCAAAGGTGCAAAGGCATTGAAATTCGATGAGGGGTGTTCCGCTCGGTCGGGTGTTTCGCTCGCCCGGGAATTACGTTATATGAAGCAGTGTTATTGTAAGAGCTTCATGGCTGAAGCATCTGCTCTATATGGTTCTTGCTGGTGTAGGCACAGAAAACATTAGTAGGCTTAGAATGACACTTTGCCTAGAGTACGTTGACAGCCGAGTAAAAAATATTCTTGACAGGCAGCCGGTCATAAGCATACTAACTACTACTAGGACAATGTCGTGTCCACACTTCCAACTACGAGGGCTACAATTACAAAATAAAAACGTCTAAAATCAAGACAACCACTTAGGATTGCGCTATCGTAAAATCATGGAACGAGCACAAGCTCAACCAAAGCCGCCAGTAACAATGCAGCCATGACGAATGCCAGCTATGATACAATAATTCCTCAAATTACCAAGCAACCCCCTAACACCGAGAAGAAAATCCCAGGCCCAGTGAAAAAAACATAAACGTCATCAAATGCGACAAAACACTCAAGCACGAGTGGTGAAATCAATCTCGATGGCTTCAGCCGCCGCATCAACCGCGCTAGCCTTCTCACAGGTGCAGGACGCTATATCCCGGTCAGTAACTAAGCCATAAGGGTTCTCCGCTCGATGCAACTTACTAGACGGTCTCTTGCCGCAGGGGCACGCATCACCCGTCACGGGGTGGTTCTCGGTGGTTGCGCGCTCACAGGTACATTGTCCAGCCGGACGGGCTCCTACCAACAGAGTAAGTCATTTGATCTCCAGTCGGCAAAGTGCAAATTCCAACGGGGACTTACGGCATGAGCATCTGGGTCCGGAGATGGTGTTTTCGGTGGCAGACTTGTTGCAGGTGCAGTGGAGGGCGTTCTCTTTGCCGCAGGAGCACTTGGCCTGGGCTGCGCAGACACAGCTTCCGTCACCGGAGTTTCTGCAGCAGGTAGAAGATGGGTGGACCATTTTGTCTTTTGTCTTGCTAGGCGGTTTTGAGTAGATTGTGCTGGAAGTCGAAGATTCTCTGAGACGAGAACGGTGATGCTTGAAGTTCTTCTGAAGGTTGTAGGATGATGTATGACGTAACCGAAACAATGAGGAAAACTCGATTAGATCCAACGATTGCAATGCCAACGGACAAAGTAAGGCTGGCAAACGAGCTCTTGAGAATGAATCTTTTGAAGCAATTATTTGAACTAATGCTGATGAAAATGTAAAGAATTATCGCGAACTTCAGCAGTATTTATATCCTCAATTGCATGACCATGGCCTGCAACCTGGTAATCGTGGGATTAGCAATGTCCGCTCGTTGATTGGTTATAACTCCAGATCCCGTGACTCATTTTCAGCAATTCCGTTGCTTGTGATTTGCTGCGGAATCTGGGGTTATTTACTGCGACAATGACTGGACGATCTCCGCCCGAAAGCTGCGATTCATGGGCGACTGGTGGATGGTGAATTACTTTTTACTATGCTCTGATTCGATGTCCACCAAGTACCTGGATCTGCCTGAGGAAGAAGCCTGCCTCTCAGTAATAGCAGTCCACCTATTGGGCCGATGGGGGGTGACCTTTTCTTTATGGTCCCTATACCTACGTAATCAGCTACTAACTTAAGCCGTTTGATTGGTCTGGCGTACCCTTGCACTCAACCTGACCTCGACAAAAGCTTTCATGTTACTGGGCGAGGATAACTGGCATTCGAAGCCCCAAGTCATACTTATCAAAACACGCTCCCGGCCTCTGTGGTTGGTGCTGGTTATATTTAACTGTATGCATATTATTGTACAATAGTGATCCTTCTGGTTACAGATCCGTGCACAATGGGAACCCACCAGGGTACTGGCACAGATATAAAGAGATCACAGGACCGCAGTGTGTCCCTTGGTGTGAAATTGAAGAGATGAGCCAAAGAAAAATGAGGAAACATACAAAGAAACAGATGCCATGCCATGCCCTCCCCATAGACGAAAGAAAAAAAAAAAGAAAAAGCAAAAAGATAAAATGCAAAGTATTTCCCTCCCTTGAAACCGGATTGTCAAATGCAGAGATGAGGTCACGCAAGAAAGAAGAGAGGATCATTGGACAGCCATTGGAAAGAGATGTAGAGTCCCATGGCCCACGAATATTGAGCAGGTTCACCAATCAGCGTCGTATGGAGGATTATAAGTATGATTTAGACATTAGGTTGGCCCGTTCTGTGCACTATACAGAACAGGGAGCGAAAGGTAGTTTTTTATGGAGAAGGAGGAATGGAGCGAATCTTTCCGGTTGTTCCCATGTCACATGTAGCCGGCATAGTCGTAGGATGCGTTGCCAAATTTCCCTCGCAAAGGGTCCAGGATCTGAGGCGATTGATTGATCCGGTCTTCAGTAGAGACGGCCACCTGGGGAACATGTGATGAGTCCGGTGGGAAGGAAGCAGGGAGGCTCATACTCGAAGCGTTGGCTTGCGAATAAGGTATTCCCGCTTGCATGCTGTACGGGTGATGCTCGTAGGAGAAAGGTCGGTACTCAGGTGCATCTGAGACTGGTATCGAGTGTAATGAGGGCATGTGTCGGGGTTGCATATGCGAGTTCATCTCTATGCTGCCATAGCCTTTTGGAGCTGGCATAGTGAGTGTGGTTTGGTAGCTCGGGACCTGCTGGTCTGTTCGGGGCGCGTTAGTCTACAATACTTCGAAATAAACATGAGAAGAGGGTCGCATACTGTGGTTGTCTACGTTGTATGGCAGGGGCTGTTCCTGCTGGCCGGTAGGCGACACAGAGCCTTCCATGGGCCGAGAATGATCGTAGCCCACGACCATTCCATTGGCTGGTCTGGGAATCCCATAGTCCATGGGACGCCGCGCGTATGGCAAGCCGGGATGGCTGAGTGGTTCGACTCCCGGCCTCGAGAACCTGCCAGGCAAATGTAGTCCTGTGTTGAATGAGACTTCGGAGAAACTGCTGGACCTAGGGAAAGGAAAGGCCCCGCGCGTGTTTCGTTGTAGCTCTGGTAGGGTCGCTGCCGGTCGAGGTCCAAGAATGCTATGTTGGGGATAATGTTCGGGTGTCCTGTCAGGGCCAGCTGAAGGGAAACAATTTCCTGTGGTCGATGACGAACTCAGCGGGGAAACCACGTATTCGTCATCATTGATACGTTGTAGTCCGTCCGTAAGAAGCATCTTCAGAGAATTAGAATCCGTACTAGACGCCATGTAGTTTCGGGGTGACGCAACTGGTGTCTCTGATAGTGTTTTGTTATCAAATGGGGTACGCAGAACCTGAGTTGTGTCAAAATCATCGGGTAAAGCCCGGGACTTTAACATCCTCTCTCGATCGTTGCTTGTGAGTCGCTTGAGTTTGGCTCGCCTGAAACACATGGATTAGTGGACCAATACGGGCCAAGGGGGAATCCACACAGGGGAAGAATACCTATTCTGAAACCAGACTTGTACTTGACGAGGAGTCAGTCCAGGAATCTCCCTCGAGAGACGTTCACGGTGTGCAGCATCTGGGTGTGCTTGACGAGTGAATTCGCTCATCAGAAAACGGGTCTGATTGTGTGTCAGGCTGCAGATGTTGATTAGTTTTCTTTTGCTGAGCAAAATGCCACAACTCGGAAGGATCAAGTTATCGTAAAAGCTTACCGGAACCGCTTCATCTTCTTTTTGTCAGACTTTGCGTCAGAGGAGTTCTTGTGATCTCCGCCTTCGTCCGAAGATATGCCCATAGCCTCGCCATCATCCTTCTCATCCCCTCGCGCCTCTTCCTGAGGCCGCTTCTTTGCTTCCAGTGTAGATGCCTTCGGAGCAGAGGGGCTGGCCGGTTTTGAGACCCCAGAAGGATGAGATTCGCTGTGGTTCAGCTGATCCAGCCTCATTCGTGACAGCGTCTCTTCTGTGCTTCTGCTTTCTGCTTCCTTTGGTGGAGGCATCTCTGCCTCCGAACTCCGTGCATGGTTAGATGTTGCCGCAGGGATAGTTGCTGAAAAGGCATTTTCAGCCTTGAGTACAGCATTTGGTTGCATGTCGAATGCCAGCTTCTGAACCGAATGGCCTCCCTTCTCCCCTGGGTAGGGCAACCTCGGCGGGTTCACCCTTGATCTCGAAAGTACCTGTTCACTATTCCAGGAAGTTGATGGTAGGTGGTTCGTGATCGCAGAGAGATGAGATGTAGCAGGAGGCGACAACGATGACAGCCAGACGCAAGGCCCACTGATTGACATGATAGAGAGGTCTCTTCTCGCGTCAGGCAAGATTCGCAATTGGAAGAGAGCAGCCAGGTCGAGGGGCTTCTTGAAATCACAATGTGGGAGAGCAACGGAAACTCAGGAGAGAAGAAAGAATGTCTTCCAAGATCTTGAAGTGAATCAGAACCGTACCAGGTGGGTCTCAAAGTAATGTCCGGGCGCTTGCTGAAGAAGCTCAGGATCTCCGAGTCGGGTCCGTCAGGCAAATCAGAGGCGAGGATAAAGGGAAATAATACAGGGGATGTACTGGTATAGTACCGCAGTGCTGTTCAGGTTGTTCTCCAGGCAATATCCAGTGCGCGTCAAAGGAAACAAACCAGAGAGGTAGATGTAGTCGTCGTTGATTAAGGAGCACCACTATGCGAAGCGAAGAAGACTGTTGTCTCAAGGCTAATGCGATAGCCCTCCTTCTCCTATTTTACTCCTCGACTCGACTTAATACGTGTTCGTCCCTTTTCCGAAAAGATAAAAGGAGAACGGCAAATATCGATTGAGACTGAGGGCCAACAGTAAGAGAATGGAGAATGATCCGCCGATGGGTCCTGGAAACGGCCGGGGAGTGACCGGACTCTGGGTAGGTAAAACTGGTAACGGTAGAAGGGTTTACAGTGAATATTAAGCAATCAACAGTGCGTAGGTGGCCAGGCGACAACAGAACGAAACGAACAAAAGTGGAAATGAGCCAAACGGCTAATCTAATCATCAAATAAGGCCAGCATTGGGGTGAATCATAGGAGATTAGACCAAGCACCAAGGCCCAGTTCGAGTCCCAAAGTGATCCACCGGAGGCCCCAAAGTTTGCCAGTCTAGCAGATGAGGATGATGCTAAGGATGCAGCAGTAGGCTCAGTTAATTTCCTCACTGCCACTCATTGGACAATCAGCCAGAGACGTGCTTACCTATTATGCTGAATGAATGACCATGGGATTCAGACGGAGACCCCCGGGCATATGATATGGCTACTCTGAAGGAGATATACTAGGTATCTATCCTTTATGGTGTCAAAAATTCTACCTGAGGGGGAGTCTAAAAAACAGATATAGTACAAATATAAGAAAAACTCCAAAAGTTAAAATAAAACCAAATAAAACAACCGCTTCAGGGCCATGGTAAAGTCGATACAAACTCTAAGATGGACGGGCCATAGCTTGATGGTTCGGGAGACGAAGATCTTGGACCATGCTGACAATGCTACGAATAGGTACTACTAAAATGCTACCGCTTCTGATCGCCCTTTGGTGGCGCCTTGTCCGTAGAAGTGACGATTGGCGTCAAGTCTAGCACTCGAGGTCAGGCCAGGTTGCAGGTGACAAAAGAGGAAAATAGTGGCAGGAAGTAAACCCGGAAAAGGGAAAAAGAGGGGAAGAGGCGACATAAACACCAAAATGACAGAGAGAAAGTGGCGGCAAGCTGACTGGACAGGGGACGGAGCAATTTCTCCATATTGTAGGCTCGGTGATGTTGTATTCGGTTTATTTCTAATGGATACAGCCGGAAAGCTAAGGCACTAGGTATCCAGAGCCAAGGTACCATGACTAGGGGGATGACTCTCTTAGGTTCAAAACCTCAACAAGGTTATTGTTACCTCTTTCCGTCAGCAAAGACGCTACAGATCTGAATCGACGAAATCAACTGCAAACTCGCCTACATAGAGGAGGAAGATTGGAATCCGTCTTAGGAAGCAAGGCGAGTGTCGCAAGGAGGTACGGTAGCGAACCGAACAACGACTCATG